TGACCTAAATTTTTTATTTGTGATCGAGAAATATTGCTTGATTAATTAATTTGATAATTTATGATCGATAAATAAGTTGCAATCTATAAAATTTGTGATTATGATTAATAAGTAACAGTATAATAAACTTTATAATATTGTGATCTAAGACTTTGTTTTAATCGCATTCTTAAAAATAATAATAATAATAATAATAATAATAATAATAATAATAATAATAATAATAATAATACATCGATTTGATATCATTTCAACCACAAATTTTTCAATAAAATAACATTACACATAAATCCAAAAGTTTTTCTTATTTTTTAATTACACAGTCTCATCAATTTAATATTCCAAAATATATTCTTTCAAACTAATATGGCTCAAACACACACTATATATTTAATTAACAAAATATTTAAATTAGGATAATTAGCATAAAATGTTCCTACTTTTCATCTTTTGGCATTTCTACCCTTATCTTCGCCTTTTATTGCTGAACCCATCATCTTCATCAAATTTATCGTGTAAAATGACAAACATATCCCATATTTAAATAAAACAAAAAAAAAATGTTAAAGAATAAATTGCAATCATACTCTCTAACTTTTTAAAAAAGTGCATTTGAGTCAAAATATAAATTAGTAAAAGTGTAAATAGTACAAAATGTCCATATTTTTCATTTTTATTGTGCAAAACATTCATACATTTTATTTTTATCCATTTTTTCAATTAAAAATTGTAAAATGACATATATATCCCTCCCTTCAAATAAAAAAAAGAATAAATAAAGAATATATTGCAACTATATTTCCAAAATTTACAAATAAATTCCAAATAAATAATTAAAAAAATTTCATTTTTTTTAAAATTATTTATTTGAAATTTGTTTTGAGTGATGCTACCTTTATAGACAGATCTGGTACAGGTAAGACACAGGGGTGGTGCATTTTGGGGAAAAAAATAAATAAGTCAAGCTACAATTACAGAAAATTCATGTACAGAATAGGTATAGAATACACACATACAAGATGAGCGTGTTATTTTTTATAATATTTTAAGCGAAAAATTCATAAACCCGATTGTAAGTATAGGAGATTTCAATTCTAAGATACCAACTTTAAAGTTTCAAAAACCAGAAAGATATACATATCAATCAGATTGCTAAAAATCAGCGTCAACTTATCATAAAATCCTGGGCTCTATCATAACGAATTCACCTTCCAAAATTAGAAATCGTAGCTCATACGATGAATAGAAGACACAAATATGCCCAACTCCTACAAATTCATCTCTCAGAAGACAAATTAAAGCCACGGATCTGAATGAATTCAATTGGTGAAACTTTCGCGTCATCGTGTTATACTCGATCGAAATCTGAGGTCGAGTACGTAATTCTAATTCAATCTTAAATTCAAGTGTTCTAATAATTCGTGAGTCCTTCAATTAGGAAATGATTTCACGACTATAATAGAATGATGCGTTAATTGATTTTGGTGTATTGTCAAATCCATGCATTATAGTACATTTCAAAAAAATCTAGGAAATCATAAATGGATGCAAATGCCAGATTCCTTGTACCACTATCTAATTTCATTTCATAAACTACAAGGTTGAAAGAGAATAGATTGAAATGCATGTATTTGTGACCTCATCAAGATGAACTATGTGACTAGCGAGTGGACATGTGGAATGCACATATGTGTTGTGATCTCGTACAAAGGTTCGATGTGACTTTCGTACATTGGGGGACATTATGTATTCGGATACTAGTCGTTGTAACATGTTGCTGGATATGTGACCTTTATCCCCTGATTCGTGTAACACCCATGTAAAAACATGTATGTGACCTACGGTGTGGACGTAATAAAATTGGCTGTGACTTGATATTTTCATCTTCTGTCACTTTTGGAGAAGTAGCAATGGACATGAGGCTTTTCAATATTCATTTTATTGTTTAGACATGATCCTCAGTCATTGGACTGACATTGATTATACTTCATTTAGCAACAAATGAAACATCATAGTCTGTGACCAGAAACATGTTACCCTGATCTTGCTTACGATCAGTCTTGTGACCACTATGCTATAATTTGTGACCTCTATTTTCAAAATACAGTTCATCTTATGGTTGTTAAATATGAATTTGTAACCTATCTACTTTGTCAACATAGTGGGTCACATGATAAGGATTCTATGCGGTCTGACTCGTAACAACTCCACAGATGTCTGTGACTTCTGCCTCAGTAATTTGACTTGGGATGTGACTTTGTAACGTGAATCTATGACCTGTATGCTATGTCACATTAGAGAGTCACATGATAGAGATTGTGACCTGTCCTGTAACCAACACACAATCGTATGTGACTTCTATGTGTACTGAAAATGTACGTATAGTGTGCCTAATATGAAAATTGCATGCGAACTACTGTATGAAGATTAATGTAACATAATGTGACCCATCCTTAGATCATATACCAAACCTGTTACCTGCATAATCTATGCGAAAATATGTTTGTGACCTATGCTACAAACATAATATGATAGGCTAAAACCTGTGCTGTAACATATACATTAACGGTGACTATGTACAACAAATAGAAGAATTAGGCAAATTCCTGTGACTGTGCGCTACACATATAAGCTGCAAAAACCTATCGAAAAGTGTGATGCAATATCTGAAGATTGGACTGCAAATTAATTACTCAAAATAGTAGCTTTATCATAGACTACTTCAAAGCCCCAATTACAGAAAGTATGTAGGTCTTGCGATTTAGAATCCAGCAAAAAAAAAACAAAAACACTTCAGATTCTAGCTTTTACAAATTAAGAACTATGCTCATACTACATCTAAACTATTTGAAGTACAAAAGGTACGTAGATCTTGCGATGTAGAATCCAACAAAAAAACACTTCATATTCTAGCTTTTACAAATTAAGAACTGTGCTCATACTGCATCTAAACTATCACTCTATGACGATGCTTTTCTCCTCCAGTTTGCTACACCTTTTTTGTGGCGTTTTCGATTTCTCGATGTTTAAACAACAATGATACTTTATATGAACGTGCTTTAGCCGCATCAAATCTCATCGGCATGGATCCTATATCGTCATGAAGCGTGTACTCGGCATATTTGCCTCAAATCTGTGACAACTACGTTGGGGTCTTGCTTGAATTTGGGGTAAATATTCTTCAGCTTCGCTTGGAACAGACGAGTCAGTCGTGGTAACAACTAACTTCACATTCCGTCCATTTTTTGCCAACTGATGTATATAATAGAAGCAAATATCAATATGCTATCACAATGCAATAATTGTACAGAGTTAGAATGGTTACAAATCCAATAGTAGTGGGACATGAAGTGGATGTGATGTTTGATTTCACAAAAAATTAATAAATTATGTGATTTTTTATGCATAAATCATTGTTCGTGAATCTTGTGTATGCATCTTTGTGATCTGTGACCTATTCCTAAATAACTGTGATCTATTCGTAAATATCAGTGACCTGACCTGCATGAGAAGACACTAATGCATATTTTTTCTGTAACTATACGTACGTTTTCACGAAAATTAATAATTAATTTGATGGTTGGTGCATAAATCATTGTCTGTGACTCTTTTTATATGCATCTTTGCGATCTGTGACCTATTCATAAATATTTGTGACCTGCCCGCCGAGGAAAACACTGATGCATATATTCTATGACCATGTGATTCCACAAAAATTAATAATGCATGTGATGTGTGATGCATATATTATTGTATGTGACTCTTTTATATGCATCTTTACGTTCCGTGACTTATTTGTAACAATCTGTAACCTCGCATATGATCATCATTTCACTCCATTCATGCAATCTGCCTTACATATGAACTGTGAAAGTGTCATTTGAATTGTGTACATAATATGAACTTCCACATCTGCATATTGATCACAAAACAAGAAAAACAAGAATGTCACAGATGCATATAGAATGACAACTTCCAGACAATGAATTTGGCCACACAAGGTACACAATGAGATTTTCACATATGGACGTGCATTTCACACACAAAAGTATATCAGACATTAATAATGCGTAAATCATATAATTCTGAACTTCCTTCGAATGGGTCAACTGATCAAGTCACAAAAATCGATCTCAACTCATATATCAAAACAGAACATACTTCATAAATATAGAACACGTCGTCAATACTCAACACCCATCGATTTCAAGTTTGTATATGTGGTATTAATTGAGATTTGCAAAATACCTTCTTCGTGGTAGATTTTGGAATTGACCCATTCGATTTGTGCCTTTTCGACGGGGATACTTTCATGTTGTTCGTCTACCTTTCTTTTACCCCTTCTATTTGAGGCCTCGACCGCAATCTTCCCCCTATTTACACTCCTGGAACGAGCCATTAATCTTCGTGTTTGCTATCTTGACAAGATGAAAAAGGAGGAGCCATTGATTGTTGTGTGATGAGAAAGTGATGTGCGTTAAAATTATGGTCACGATTATGTCGGAGTCAGTCACCGGCGACGATGGAGAACTCTTTGTGGTCTTGCTGCGTAAAGATGAAACGTTAGTCGTGGGAGGAGTTACGAATTATAAGGAAGCTGAGATGGTTTTCAAAAATTGATCCCATAAATCACGGGATATGCTGTTATCATGTATATATATTTGGCAATATATTTAATTATAGTAAATTTAATTAGATATTTCTAATTTTTGAAATAATAAACTACAAATCTGATTTTAGAATTTATGATTTTAACACTAGGAATCCCTGTAATTTCCACATATTTTAATTTGAACTCATATGACTGTGTGTAACATTTCTGTACAAAATTATTCTATACAACCAGCTTTCCTTGAAAAAAAATCACAGGTGTCCGTAGAACAGTTCCCTGGGAATTTTTCGAAAAATTATTTACCTGTATAATGGCCTCTGGGTGGAAAATCTTAAGTGTGCAGAAAATTATTTATAGAATTTATACAGGGATCTCTACCTGTATATATTCTGTAAAAACTTTCTGTAATATCTATTTAAAATAGAACATCTACCAAGCGGCTACCGGTAATACGGACCATCTACAATACCGGCTAGTGGCTATGATCTTCAGGCAAACCCTCCATAAACCCTTCCGTTAGATTCCACCACCAGAGCACCGCCAATGGATACGGCTCTGATAATCAGGTAGATGGACATTTCACACACACTGTGGCTGCCATGGATTTGCTTCCCAGAAATCCCCTTGTAATCTTTAAACCCTGACAGATATTCTGAGAAAAATGATAATTAATCTTAATATTATGCAGAAACTCCTTCAAATCCCAATATTCGGTTCGATTAGAGCCCGATTCATTACTCCATTTTCTACTTTGGCCTCGCTTTCCAACTATGAACTTGATAATCATAACACAGCCAACGAGGTCCTCAATCTCATCAACGAAGTCCGTCCAATGGAACCGGCTCTCGAGAAGGTAAGCCCTTTTCTCAACAAGCAAATCGTGGTTTCCATTTTACAGGCCCAGCTGAAGCAACACCCGCAAATTTGCTTTCGCTTCTTCATCTGGGCTGCCAGGAGCCCGCTTCTCTGGACCGTCGTCGCCCGTAATTTAATTGTTGAGATGCTTTCGAATATTCAGAATGGTAACAATAATGAATTTGATCTATGCTGGAGTGTTCTTGATGCTATGAGGAATGAGAAGGTACCCATTTTAGCAGACGCTTTTGTGGTGTTGATTTCAGGGTATTGGAGGTTGCAAAGGGTGGAAAAGGCAGTGGAGACTTTTGGTAGGATGAAAGAATATGAGTGCATGCCAAATGTAGATGCATATAATGTTATATTGCATGTTATGGTTAAGAAAGACATGATTTTGTTGGCACTGGCAATTTATAACATGATGTTGAAGTCGAATTGTAGGCCAAGTTGTTCCACATTTACCATTTTGATTGATGGTTTGTGCAAGAGTGGAAAAACTCAGGATGCACTAAAGCTATTCGATGAGATGAGTGAGAGGGAAATCTTGCCTAGCAACGTTACATACACGGTTATCATGTCGGGGCTGTGCCAGGCGAGGAGGACAGATGATGCATATAGGTTGTTTTATTTGATGAAGAGTAGGGGATATAGTCCAGATATTATAACGTACAATGCTTTGCTCCATGGGTTCTGTAAGTTGGGTCGGATTGATGAGTCATTTGCTCTTTTGGAGTCATTTAGGAATGATGGTTACGTGATTGGGATACAGGTGTACAGTAATGTGATCAATGGTTTGATTCGAGCCAAAAGGATTAGTGAAGCAGAGCAATTGTTTTGGAAGGTTTTCAAGGTGGGGTTAACACCGGATCTTGTGTTATATACTATTATGATACGCGGGCTAAGTGATGCGAGAAGGGTGAAGAGTGCATTGAATTTGTTGAGAGATATGATGGGAAGAGGTATCATTCCAGACACACAGTGTTATAATGCATTGATCAAAGGGTTTTGCAATGTGGGTTTATTAGACCAGGCTCGGTCACTTCAGCTAGAGATTTCTCAGCACGATCAGTTTGCCGACACTTGTACCTACACTATCCTCGTATGTGGTTTGTGTAGGAATGGTCTGCTGGGGGAGGCTCAGCAGATATTCAATAACATGGAGAAACTTGGGTGCTTTCCTTCTATTGTAACTTTTAATGCTCTTATTGATGGGCTGTGCAAGGCTGGTAAGCTTGAGGAAGCTCACCTCGTGTTTTACAAAATGGAAATTGGGAAGAACCCATCACTGTTTCTTCGGCTTTCTCAAGGTTCTGATCGTGTTCTTGATAGTGCAAGCCTGCAGAAAATGGTGGAGAAGTTGTGTGAATCTGGATTGGTTCTTAAAGCTTACAAGCTACTCATGCAACTCAGTGATAGTGGGGTTCTACCAGACATCAGGACGTACAACACCCTGATCAATGGCTTGTGCAAAGCTGGACAACTTAATGGTGCTCTTAAGCTCTTTGAGGAGCTCCAGCTCAAGGGCCTTCTTCCTGATTCAGTGACATATGGTACGCTCATTGATGGTCTTCAAAGAGTGGATCAAGAACAGGAGGCATTTAAGCTCTTTGAACAAATGAATACGAAGGGGTGTAAGCCTACATCATCTGTGTACAAATCATTAATGACTTGGTCTTGCAGAAGGAGGAAGATTTCTGTAGCTTTTAGTCTTTGGTTGAAGTACTTGAGGAGCTTACATAGCCAGGAAAATGAAGTAATCAATATAGTTGAGAAATGTTTGGAGAAAGGGGACTTGGAAATTGCTGTTAGAGGGTTGCTTGAAATGGACATCAAGTTGAGAGATTTTGATTCAGCACCTTATAACATCTGGCTGATTGGATTATGTCAAGTATCTAGAGTAGAGGAGGCTCATAAGATATTTTCTCTTCTTCAGGAGTTTCGTGTTGATGTATCTGCCCCGAGTTGTGTGATGTTGATTCATGGCCTATGCCATGAAGGGAAACTCGATGAAGCATTTGAAGTTTTCCTCTATACCAAGGAGAAAGGTTACCGGTTGTTGCCACGAATATGCAACAATATGCTTCAAGCTCTTCTTTGCTCCAAAGAGAAATCAGCTCTTGCTTTTGAACTTTTAAGCAGAATGAAATCCATGGGGTACAACTTAAACACTTATCTACAACGACATACAAAGTCTCTTTTACATCGTCATTGGAACTTTGGGGAAACAGAGAATATGTCAACTGGATGACAGTGCACACAAGATGTTTCTAAAATCAGACACCTTTCTGGTTTCCGGGTGACACTTTTCGTTGCCTTCATGTTCTCGTCGGGAAAATTGTTGTACAACTTGCTAGATTCTTTGCTTCATTTGTTGGATATAGTGCAGAAACTCTATAATTGTTCTGATGTTCTCTAAGGAAGGTAAATGTTCTTTGAGAGAAATGTAGTCTCAATTTCTTATTAGCAGTGAGAACACAAATGGGTTAAATTTTTCTTTGTCTCGATTTTTTATGAACAAAAAAGGAAATTCTTTATTTTCTTCACGATCTGAAGTCATATCTTGTAATGGCCTGTTACCTGCAGCTGGGTTTGCCTTTATGCAATTTTACTAAGCTTTCTAGCATGCAGGTTGATTATGTTATTCATTAATATGTTTCACAGTCTCATTGATTAAAAATATACAAGGACAAGGTACTACGGTAATCATTTACACTGGTTACTTGTGACATGTGCATTAGGCGATCCTCATGCAACTAATTATAGTTTCTTTGTGGGGACCATAAGTTCTTCAGAACTGAGAATCCTTGTAAAGGTCCATTTTTCTCTATATTGTTTCCTGTTATCCTACACAACTTGGTAACATGTCTTTCCTAGACACAAGGATTATTATGTTTTAAAATACTAATCATTGTTTGTAGACTTGTTTCAAATATTCGCCTATGTGATTTTAGGTGAGATCTCGGACATATTTACGAAGGATGTAGTTCTTAAACTTGCTGACTTGATGAATGTCGCATCTTGAAGCCCCCCTTCTTTTTTCTCTGTGCTCGCGACTACTATCATCTCTTTCCAATGTTTTTTGAATCACTTGCAGCTAGTCAATTGTGATCCATTGTGCACTTTTAAAACAGAAAATGAATAAGTTGCCTGTTGAATAATTTACTCTTGATTTTTCACTTTTGGTCTTCTGGAATGTGTGAGACTGATCATTCTTGTAAATAAATTATCACTCCCAATACACTGCACATGTTTTATGTTGTGGATAAAAAACCGAACTTCACCAGCTGGTTCCATTGACACGGTGTTTCTCATCTTCCTATTGTTACAGCTTCAAGATTACATTGGATCTGCCATTATTGCTATGGGGCCAGAGAAATTACTTGGATTGCTTCCTATCTCCCTCGTTGCAAAGGATCGTTCTTGTTCAAATACTTGGTTGATACCTATTTTGAAGAAAAATATTGTTGGGTTGTCCCCAGGGTTCTTCATGGCCGATGTTATACCTCTTGCTCAATCCTTCCAAAAGACATCATGTAAAGGTATCTGCTAAAAAGTAACTCTGTGCTTTCCTCCAAAGTTTCTGGTTATCAATTTCTTTTAGTTAATGAACTTCGATTGAGTTATCTAGGCTTCCATTCAGTTCATTGCTATATCACCAAAGCAACTAATCCTTTATGACCACACTTTGGTTTAATAAAAATGAAAATTTGCAATAATGCTAGGAGGAAGTAATATTCCTTTTCTTCCAAAAGATTTATGTGCTTAATATGATTGAACAAATGCCTGGCACTATAGGTAAGATAAAGAAAACTTCTATAAATCTTTATCAGTGAGGGACCTTATACTGCATATGATAGTTGTCAATTTTTACTTTTTTAATTTTTAATTTTATCATTTCTAATGTTTTCATTCTATTTATTTTCGTAACCATGTAATTACACAAAAATCTATATGCTTATTTCATTATGAAAAATTGCATGTCCCCCCGTGTGGCGACATGGGGGCGAAAAAAGGAAAGAGAGGGATGGGTTTTCTCTCGCTTTTGGCATAGCAGGCCCTTGAAAGAGTGCGTAATAGCTCACTGATCAAGCGCTCTTGCGCCGAAGGTGAACGGGGTGGATCAACGGCTTCTTGTACTAATTTCTCCTTACACATTACTAATTCTCCTGATTTTGATTAATAGAAATGATATTCTGCCTGAAAAATACTGGTCTACTGCAATACCTGAAAGAATCCTTGAAATATTGCAATCTTTCAAATACAAAATATTGTTAGGCATAGTCAGTACTAGAAGCGTGTAAAATGTAATTTTCAGTCTCCTGCTTAATAAGAGCTTCTAATTTGAAAAATTTGTACAACTTACCGCCCTTCAGTTCTGGAAAATATAAAATCCTTAGAGCATCTCCATAGGGTGAATCTTCATTTTGAGGAGTCCAACAAACTCTTTATATCTGAAAATTAAAATAAAAGGTCAATTTGATTGAGTTGATTCTCCAAATTTAGAGAGCCAAACTCTCTCTATATAAAACTTTTAATTATTTCATTCACTATTTCACAAATTTCTTTGCATATTTTTGGACAGAAGCATGTAAATGGAAGGAGGAAAAAGGTTGTGCAATAATTGCTTATAAAAAAATGCAAAATAAAAAATAAATATAGTGTGTTGTTGGACTTGTATAGAAAACATGCGTGCACTTTATTTTTGAAATTTCTTAGAGATGCTTTTTATTTTGGAAATATGCTCTTTAATGTAAAAGCATTATTGGAAATGCTCTAATTTAGCAGCTTCCTATCTATTGTTGTAAAGTACACACGAGAAATATTCTGTTGATGTACTTATTACATTTGCCTATATATCTAAATATTCCACAGATGCTCTGTTTTAAATTGTGTAATGTCAATCAGGAATCATTTTGTATATGTTTATATACTTGAATTATAATTTATTCTCCTATCTGTGTATTTTGCCTTAGTGCATGCTTAAGTTTTGTAGTACTCGGATTTCTACTACATCTGGAATTTAAATTTGTGCTCCTTGTTGGAATTTAGAAAAGAGTAGTAAAATTAATTAATTACAAAGGATCCTCTTCCTTTAAATAGAAGGAATTTACAACAAGCCACTCCTATAAAAGAGGAGATGAGATATGCTTAAGTAGGAAAGTTAAAGACTAGAAAGAGATAACACCTAAATCAGATAAAATTTAAAAAACAACTTCATATTAGATAAGTATAAAAACTTAGTTATCTAATTACATGGTTTCAACACTCCCCCTCAAGCTAGGAGGAATCGATCTTTCATCCCAAGCTTGTCCAAGCACTATTCAAACACTTGTCTGACCACTCCCTTTGTGAACACATCTGCAACTTACTGTTTAGATGGGACAAAGATCATGCGAATCTCATTGTTATCAATCTTTTCCTTCATAAAGTGCTTGTCGATCTCAACATGTTTTGTACGATCATGATGAACTGGATTGTGGGCAATGCTTAAAGCCGCTTTATTATCACAAAAAATCTTCAGTAGTTTAAGGCATGTTAGTTTCGGTTCTTCCATTAGCCTTCTAATCTAAATCATTCAGCATGTTCCTTGTGCAAGAGCTCTAAGTTCAGATTCAGCACTACTTCTAGCTACAACATTCTACTTTTTACTCTTCCAAGTCACCAAATTTCCCCAAATAAACGTAAAATAACCTGTAGTTAATTTTCCATCCTCAATAGGTCCTCTATCTGTTGCGGGTCAAGGGCCGCAAGCAGTTCACCCATTAGTTCATTTGCTCCCAGGCAGTTTTTTTTGGTGGAGAACTTTCCACAAGAGGTGGCAGCTTCAGTTCATTCATCAGTAACTTGGATTTTGGATAGGGGTGCCACCGATCACATGCTTTGCTCACCTTACGAGGGCATCCTAGCCAGATTCAATCCTAAGCCCAAGGGTCAATCAAGCCTTTGAACTACCAATGCTGGTTGAGGCAAACCCCACTTAGGAGCATCACCAGGACGTCTATGAAAATTCTAAACAAAACTCCTAATTGAAAGAAAGGAAGATTGCAACTTCAGCCCAACCTCCATCGGAGTATGCCTCTCAACACCTCGTTTCACTCTTTCCAAAAAATAGTCCCTTCCCCGGAGCCTTCAAGTACCGGAATATTATATACACTGCATCAAGATGTTTTTGGAAGGGGCAATGCATGTATTGACTCACCATGCTAACCGCAAATGCTATGTCCTGTCAAGTGTGTGACAAATAAATCAACTTACCAACCAAGCTTTGATATCTCCCCCTGTCTGCATGATCGAGTACCCTTCCTAATATCAATAGGTAGATCTGTCTCATCTTGCAATTGAGTCGCTGCTATCCCCTTGATATTTTCAGATTGATCAGAATTCATTTTCTGGTTAGAGTTCTGACTGTGGTGGGGAGTTATAATTGGTTGTACTATCTTTCCTTTCTTTAATCGCCTTGAATAAGTCAGCAAGTCATTTGGTTCTTCATTTTCTGCATAATTCTATGGCTGGTCATTCTTTTTGTTCAGATTTTCATCAATTTTTCCATTAAGGTGGTCCTGAGTGGTATTGCCAATAGGGAAATCAAGTAGGCTAGGTCCAGTCGGAAGAACATGAGGGTTTTTGGAGGAAGAACAAGTTCAACAGGAAGCATCAGTTCAACAGGTTCAGTTGTAGGAGTGGGAGCACCTTCAATATGAGTAGAAAAATCCCACAGTTCAATTTCACTAGATTTCTCCCCCTGAATTGAACTTGGGTAGAAGGGAGTATTTTCGAAAAAAGTGACATCCTTAGTGACAAAAAAATCTTCTAGTCTTAGGACAAAAGCACTTAAATCCCTTTTGACAAGGTGAATATCCCAGAAAAATACACTTTATGGCTCTAGGATCCAACTTAGTTTCGGGTAAAGAATGGACAAATACTATACAATCAAAAACCTTAATAGGAAGAGTTTCAAATAATCTATTTTGTGGGTAGTATTGAAGAAGTGTTTGGAGTGGTGTTTTAAATTGGAGGACACTTGAAGGAAGTCAGTTTATGATATAAGATAAGGACAGCTTCCCACAAAAAATTTTTGGCACATTGTTTGTAAACATTAGGGCTCTAGCAACCTCTAGGAGATGTCTATTTTTTCGTACGGCTATTTCATTTTGTTGAGATGGTCCTACACATGTACTTTGATGAACTATCCCTTGATTACTAAGATGCTCTCCCAGAACCTGATTGAAATACTCACGACCATTACAAGGATTTGGATTTGAGTTTGGAATAGTGTTTTTATCATTTGATGGAATTTCTGAAAAATGTGTGCAGTTTCAAATTTATCTTTCAACAAGAATACTCAGCAAACTCTAGTATGATCATCAATGAATGTAACGAACCATTTAGCACCAGAAATGTTGTTAACCTTAGTTGGTCCCCAGATGTCACTATGAAATATAGAAAAACGTTTAGAGTTTCTATATGAACGAGAAAGATAGGGGCTTCTAGTATGTTTTGCTAATTGACACACATCACAATGAAATGAACTTTTTTCAAATAAGGAAAACTAGGATGCCCTAATTTTTTTTTTTTGCCAAAGCATTATTCTACTAACAACTGAACTTTAAACTAAATTGGAAATAGGATCTGTGATCTTGAAGGACTCTACGGAACTCTTATTGACTTGCCCTTCATCTATTTGGTTCTGCTGATGATTAGAGAGATCATACAGTCCATTATTCTTCTTAGCACTGCCAATCATCTTCCCCGAAAATGAATCCTGAAATTGACAAAGACCTGAGGAGAAATTAGCCTTGCAATTCAGATCAATGGTTATATTACTAATTGATATTAGATTATATGAAAGATTAGGAACATGTAAAACTGAGAATAGTGTAATATCTGGGGAAATTTTAATATTTCCTTTTCCTGCTATTGAAGAACGAGATCCATCGACAATTCTAATCTTAAGTGTTCCGGGGCATGGTACATATGTAGAAAACAATTTAGAGTTTCCAGTCATATGATCTGATGCTCCAGAGTCCACTATACATTCATCTGCAACTCGTGTGTTAAGTGCCAGAGAAACACTAGCTTTTTGTGCAATATTGCAAGATGGATTCATGAAGAATCGAGAGTTACTCTGGTTCGGCTGAAATTGATTTTGCTGAAGCAGTTTCTGAATTTCAGCAATCTGTTCCTGGCTAAATATTGGCTGCTGTTGGCTTGTTCCCTCCAAGACTGCTTGGTATCCCTTATTTGCAAACTGGTTGCGTGGCTTCCAGTTAGCTGGTTTCCCATGAAGTTTCCAACATGTTTCCCTGCTGTGATTGGACCTGTGACAATGATCGAACCACTGATTCCTTTTCTGGCCTCAGTGTTCTCCAGAATTACCCTTTGAAGCTCCAGAATTCTGCTTATTCCAGCTTGTTACCAATGCTGAGGCTGAGCTATTTCAAAAATCAGTCTGATTTCAAGATCAGTCTGATTTTTTAATTTTATTTTTGCTACGTGCAGGGCAGTAATCTATGAAATCTTTGAACAAGTCCAGCTCTTGCCATAACCCAGTCAGGTTGTTGTAGTAGTCCGTGACTGAAGATTCGCCTTGGTTGCAGTCTCTCAAAACAGATTTAAGTTCAAATTGCTGAGTTGAGTTGCCCAGATCTGAGTACATATCCGGACTATCTCCCAAATATCCTTGGCTGACTTGTATGACAAATAGTTCCTTCCAATCTTTTTTTTCCATTGAATTCACGAGCCGTGCCATCACCATTGAGTTGTCTGCCTCCCAGGTTGCATACGTTCTGTCATTCTCCGATTGCATTGGTGTAGAGCCGGTTAGATACCCAAGCTTCCCTTTGCCTCGTATGACCATAATAACCGATTGAGACAAATCTAGGTAATTGGTTCCATCAAGCTTATGCTGGGTTATTTGCATGGAGTGACTTTCTCAGGTCTAGGCATGAGGAGGATTTGGTTGGTTAACCTTTGGCTGAAGAGGAGGACCAGAATCTGTACTGACAGAGTCGGATGACCCAATTCAGCCATAGCAGAAAAAAAAAAAAAATCCTAGTGCTCTCATACCATGTTGGAATTTAGAAAAGAGTAGTAAAATTAATAAGAGTCCAACAAGCTCTGATACTCCTTTCCAGTTAAGAAAACAGTATTTGGCCAAGATCTGCAGGTTTACGTCCGTGGATATTCCGAATTGTTGCCTGCCTGCTATTGCAAACCAAGTGATACTAGTCAGAAATTTAGAGCTTTGGCTAAAGTTCTGATTCCTTTTCTCAAGGGCTCCTCCATGCTTGAAGATATTGCCATTAGTTTGCAGGTCGGGTTAAAATCATTCAAATTGATGTTTATCTTTCCATGTCTTGTTGCTTGCCTGGTGTTCGTTCTCAGCTGATTACCCGTTAATCTTACTCTAGTGTTCTGTGTCTTCTCATTTAGGAACTAGTCAACGAAAATATAAGTGCACTGATGGCTGATCACGGTTCTGAATGGCTGACAAAGGTTCAAAACACAGGACTCGCAGAAAATATTGCAGTGGATCTTGAAAGTAGACATTTTTATTCGAAAAAGACAGCAAGTAGAAATATGAAGGCTTTGGCTTCGGGCTCCAAAGAGATGCTTTAGGCTGTAACTAATGTCTTGTTCAAGACACCTGCAGACAAGCACAGACATCTAAAGGTCTTTCATGATTTGTTTATTTGTCTTAAGGTGAAAGTTGCTGCGGTCCATTTCTGTAATCGTTCATTTCATACTTTTACTCATTTAATCATCCAGAATCCCAGTAGTAGCTGCAATTTTGCATTATCTGAACACAGTGATCCTTGGACAGTTTTTGATAGGTTTTCTTTCTTTACAGTACAGTCTACTGCACAGTTTCCCTGTTGCCTCCTTTATACAGCAACATTAGTTGATCTCTTTATCCTTCATTTTTACATGTATTTTGTCACCTCTTTCATCCTTGCTTCTTTGACATAATTCCAACACTTGATTTAGGTTTATATTTTGAGAACCTTCTGTTTGATGTCAGTTTCAAGAAAGTAGATGTGAAGTTTTCCACGATAGAACCTTAATTGTATGCCCATTCAGATGTTGGACTTCAAATTTGTATAGTAATGTGAACTGATCTTATGTTCATTTCATTTTCCAAAAACCAACTAGATTTACGTCAGTACTTGTGAACTAGTTAGACGAGTGACAATTCATAGTGGTCCACTTTTTTATCTCATAATTTTCAATATAGGGCTTGTTTGAGTCACATTCTTTTGGAAAAATATATTTTTCAACAGTATTTTAATATCATTTCAACCACACGTTCTTTAATAAAATAATATTACACGTAAATTTAAAATTTTTCCTTATTTTTTAACCACACACTTTTCATCAATACATTATTCAAAAATTCATTCTTCCCCATAAAAATGGGGCTCAAACAAGGGCATAATTTGGTCACAAAATCTTTTCAACTTATTTTAAATTAGATCATATTAATGACTTTGCCAGTATAAAAATCTTCTGTTTCTTCCATTGGTTTTCACTTTTAGATTGTGGTTCGGAGCTAAAGCTTAAAAGCAAAAGCCTTTTCTTAATAAAATAATAATAATAATAATAAATTTGGAACATTTTTTTTAATAATTCAAATTGCAAGAAAAAGGTAAAAAATCTTGATCAAGGATTTTTATAGCTTTTATTTACTCTTATTGAAAGAAAATAAGAAGGAACAAGCCATGAAGATTTTAACGAGAGTTAAATGAGTCTCTGTGCAATAAATGTTAAATAATATTGGACTTTCAATTTTATTTTGTAAGTATGACTTTAATATATCTTTTTTTAAAATATTTCTTGCATTTTAGGTATTGAAAATATTTAGAATGGCATTTTCATATCATCTTTTCTCTCAACTTGAGTGCTAGACAAAGTGATGGGAGTTATTTGGAGTTATGGAAGGGATGGGTTGGGGGAAGTTAAGAGTTTAAATTTCATTCAAACAATTTTCTCCAATCCATTTTGATGTCTTCTGGCCAGGTCATCCACATGGACGATCCACAATCTATATTCTTCGACACGTACTAAAAAAATTAATTTCTTAATGTAAATGCATATCCAAACATACTTCTCTGTTCCTCAATAGCATATTCGATATGTTGTACATAGTAATAAAAAACGTTTAACGGACCATATGTAACTTCTTTAATATTGCTATACCACCATGTCTACCCACGTAGCCTTGACTGTGTGAAGTTTTTCATTGTTTCATTGATGATATAAATGAAGAAATGTGTGGGTAGCATATAATTTGTGAGCTTCTTTACCCTTATACGCTAGTTTTCACTTTCAATTTCTCTTAGTGGGGAGCATTTCTATAGGTTCTCGATCACATATCAAAGCATTGAAAGTGATTTTGGTACAGTTCCCTTTTACATTTTTTGAACTCAAAATGGTATTCTGGTCTTCGAGTTGGTATTTGAACTGAGAATAGTATTCTGGTATTTGGGTTCGAATCATGACTTCGCATGAGTTTTCAAGCTTTCAACACTACATAGAGTGAAATGTCCATGTTCAACACGTGTCCAGTTTGCACGTGCACGTGTTGATTTGTATATAGTGAAAATTTGTATACAGCTCGATTCAACCACTGCAAATTTGTGAAGCAATAAAATTGCTCCACTTCCACTTCAAATTTATATTCATAACTAACATATTTTTAGATAGAGAAATAAATTCGAACAAACATCAACCAGTTCATTGACTCGAGATTTGAAGAGACTCTAGACATCCTTAAAATGGTCAGACTATTTATATTACTTTACCACGTAACAAATTACACAAGTCGAACAACAATGGTACGACCCCTCGGCCCATATTTTAGTTATTACGAACTACTTAACAGCACGAGGACTACAACAAAAATTATGCAGATGGGAAATATTTATTGAGATTGAAGGGAAGGGAATAGCAGCACGAGGACTACAACAAAAATTATGCAGATGGGAAATATTTATTGAGATTGAAGGGAAGGGAATAGCAGCACGAGGACTACAACAAAAATTATGCAGATGGGAAATATTTATTGAGATTGAAGGGAAGGGAATAGCAGCACGAGGACTACAACAAAAATTATGCAGATGGGAAATATTTATTGAGATTGAAGGGAAGGGAATAGCAGCACGAGGACTACAACAAAAATTATGCAGATGGGAAATATTTATTGAGATTGAAGGGAAGGGAATAGAATTCCACACTTCTTGGATCACTCTTGAAGGAATGGAATCTGTCCCACCAATGTCTGCCTCTGTCTTTCCTCACTTGAGGATCCTTCTTCTCCAATGTGTTGTCGAGAAAATATGCCAATATCCCGGCTATAAAGGCTCCCGACGAGAAAGGGACGTTTATTAAGTCGTTGAACTGGCCACATAAAACAAACAATTCGACGTTTTTGTAAGTTCAACTTCGGAAGCCGCAAGAAATTTAACATCTACTGGCATGTTTGATGAGATGGATTAGATACTGAATGCTACCAAGGATGAAAAAAGCTAAAAGATCTCGTTCATTCTATTGTCTATAATGGTCATATAACATGCGACTAAAAGATTCAAGAGATTCGAAGATAAGTCATTTTTGTGCATACCCATCTCCCGGTCGTGTGGGCAGGACCATAGCCCTTTATAGCGGTGTACTCGTTGAAGTATTGGGGCACGGATAATCCCATAAAAATAGGAAAGCCTAATATGAATGTGTTGCGGAAACTGTTAAGCTGGCAGAACTGAAGAAAAGCTAAACCACCCGTACCTGGATATTCATGTAAATTAAAATTACAGAATCAGTTAATCTGATAATAGAAGTCTATAAAATTCGCAGTCAGATTTTTACTTACCAACGTAGGCAAAGAAAACGCAGTATAAAGCAGCAAAAATTGGTGCTGGGATTGAAGCAAAGACTGCTCCGAATTTTCCTGCATTGTTAAATGTTCTTAATTAAGACGAATTAGACAGGAGAAAGATCAAGTAATCTGCATGAACTGAAAATCTGGGAAAAACTTAACCAAGAACTGAAAAGAAAATCATGAATCCGGCAGATATCTGCACAGCTCTACGACTGCCAACACGCGTCAGTCCTATTAAGCCAACGTTCTCACTGTACAGGAGCCAAGAAAACCAATTGGAATATAAGGTAGTTATGACTGAACTAATTAGAATTAAGTAATTATGCAGGAAAAAAAAGTTGTCTCTTACACAGCAACTGATGATCCATTTCCAGTTCCAAACAAACCAGACAACAAGATAGCAACGCCCTGAGACATTAACATTGGAAAATAATTTACCAAATGCATTGAGAAAATCATTGACAATGAACCTGGATGTACCTCATGACTTTCTTACATGCAAAACAAGTGATTTGATCAGTATTTACTTTTCATGTAATCTTTTTGAAGCATAACAAAATCGTCAAAAGAGTTTTCTGACCTTATTCACCTATTTCCTGAGTAAAATTATAGTAGTTTATTAATCAAAGTTAACCCAGAAAGTAAATTTTCACAATGAATTGTTCTTCACAAACAGAAATGACGTCGGAATGTTTATTAATTATTCACTTTTGTATCTCATTTGCTTATGGCATATTAAGGTTGTTTAGATTTGAAATAACAGTATAGAAAGAAAATATATAAATTCATAAACAATGCATTAAATTCATTCAAGTATCATTATTAGCCTTGCAATTTTATTCTTCCTTTTTCTCCATTGAATGTGATATTTTTCCCCTTTTTTCTCTCTTTTTTAGGGGATGGGGGGTCACCTCATCGGGTGTCTTTAAGGTGTCATGTTTACCTGCCAGCCAATACCACGGCCAAAAATAGATGGTGGCAAAGGAGTTGCACTAGCTAATCTGGACACACTGATGAAGGCACCACACGACTGCATTTACCATTTGAAAAAATGTGAGTACAAGGGTGTTAGACACAATGGAAAAAGTCATACGGGGTGGGGGGCAGGGGGGAAGAAGGGAAAGACAGAAAGGAAGCTTGTTGATTTAGCTTTAAAGAAACTTTGAAGTAACTTTTTGCCAAACATGTTAAAGATTTTTCAAAAGTTGGTTTTTTCTTTTTTTTTTTTTTTTTTGGATTTTCAGTAGAAAAGCTTTTTTGACAGTAAGTAAAGCGAGTGTATTTTTTTTCGATCTTAGGCGAACATGCTCCAAATCATCAGTGACTGTAAACAATAAACCTGAGCTTTTAAAGGGGATGCCAATAACAGGATGTAACAAAAATAGAGCTACTGAAATTTTGTAAGCACTGAGCGATGAGACGAAAACAAACCTCCACAAGAGAAACAAACGCTGCCATCATCATGGCAAAGGCTTCACCTGCATCAAATGAAGGTGCGCCCCATTGAAACGGGTATGGAACTCTTATCCTGCAAGGAACCCGAAAATCGACAAGAATTCATTGTCCGCATGCATTAATGTATTTGATTATAGTAAACATATGCAAATCAGAACAAAATGCACCATATGCTTGTAGTATCACCACGTTGTAGTTTAGCATTGCACATTAGCAACTCCAGTTGATCTCACTCGTGTTTGAGATGAGATAGACAATCAGATTAGTGAAGAACTGCTTAATTTGTGGTAATTTGATAGACCCCCCCTATAAGATTTACTTATTCTAGAAGGACAGCTGGCGGGAAGTCACAGAATCAGTTGGTTAGGTGGTTAGTTAGTTCTAGAAAAATCTATAAATAGGCGATGAGAAGAGTATAGTAGCCAGGCAATTAAAGAGTGAGAGGAGAGGAGTAGACTGAGTTGTTTTCTGTAATTTTCAGCATTCCATTTCTTTTGTAAGCGTTCCTTCATTTCAATTTTCTTGTTTTTGTCAATTCCAATAGAGTCCTATCATAATTCAATAACCAATTTTGAAAGATTTAATATCTCTGTGCTTTTCTGTATAAATCAACAGTGGTAGCAGCACCAGTGGAAAACTCATTGAATCGGCCCTTAGGTTCATGAAGTTTCTTCTGCATTTCCTTACTGGCAAAAGATGAAAGAAGGTTATGTACGAAAATTTCATCCGAATTCAGTGAGAAGTCTCATGAAATAATTACTGCATGCAAGGATAAACAAATTAAAGTAGTGGCAAGTCAGTGTAGCTCTCGCATAGAGAGTGAACCACTAAAATTTTTGTGTTTCTGGTCTTCATCTTGTTATCACTGCTCTCGGGATTGGATTGGGCTTAATCTCTAACAGCTTCAGCTCTTACTTCCCCAAAGTAATTTAAGTGCACGATGTTAAGATTTGGGGTCCATCTTAATAAAGTCAACCTTATTAAAAGGAGTAGTCCAAAATCATTTTAAGTTGGTCAGTATTTTATTCCTTAACACGCCCTCGCAAAATGGCGGCTCATTTGAGCAGACCAATCTTTCAATCCATTGCTCATTAATTGAGACTTATAATCGGATCGAATCGCTCGTTGGAGCTTAATGGACTCTGATACCATGTTAAGACTTGAGGTCCATTTTATTCTTTTTAAGTTGGTTAATATTTCAATATTTAACCGATGTGGAACTTTTATCCCTTAACACATGATGGCCATTAAAGAATCCACTCACTCAATTACAAAACAAATGACATGGCCAATATTTATAGCACACAAGCACCTTTGATCACCTTGATGAGAAAAAGTTACAAAAACTGAAATGACGTTATTAAATGGCTAGTAACAAGTGAAAATACCAGAGCGAATGACTACTAACATTAAGGGGGGGGGGAACTCAGCTTACCATGGAGCAGCATCAATAAGTCCCGCACGATCGGTTCTGCAGCTTGTTTGAGTCTTTGGTGCTTTACCATTATAGGCCCCACCCACAGTAAGTAAATGGGCATAAATCCATACAATTGCCACCGTGATTAAAACTGAAAAACGTTCAAAGATATGCTTTCCTGGGCTTATCAGGTTGACCAGATACTGCAATGACCAGAAAAATTAATTGTCAAACAACTCTAGGAATTGGATCATATAGAACAAATACTGCAACATTATGAAAAACTAACATTTAACCACAAGATGGCATGTGACATAAGACACATTGAACTTTATCAAGAAAATTATGAAATGGAAAGTCGTGTTCTTATATTATGAAAGAGAATTGTCAAAGTGCAATTGAGACTTACCTGAGAAATAAAAATTACAATTACGAGCTGTGGCAGTCCAATTTCAACACATTTTCCAACCTAAACAAAAAAGGCAAGAGTTCATATTCAAACCCTTTTTAGCAAGTAACAAAAGCCAGCAAATGAACAGAGTATAATCATTTCGATAGATAGAGAGAAACTCAGTAAAATGTTCATGCATACCCCTGGAAAACCAAACTCATAAAGTCCAAAACCTGCAAGAGTTGCCAAAGGAACAGCTGAAATTGGACTCAGGTACCTAGATCACATAGATATATTAGAATAGATTTAAATGACAATATTTATGCAACAGACTTGCTGGTTATGGGCAGTATCCAGGACAAATAAGGTCAGCATGGATGAAACTAAGAATAGGCATATTAATTTTGTAATGCAAACAAACCTTGCAACATTACGCCAAAGACCACTTTAATTTTGTAATGCAAACAAACCTTGCAACATTACGCCAAAGACCACTGAAACCTAGTACTATTTGAATGGTTGAAGCAACAATGAGTGCACCCTGTGTTGCCCGCATTATCTTCTTGAATTTCTGCACAATCATTGAAAGTAAATTATATATTTGAATCAAATTCACCAAGAGTAACTAGGGACAATTTACGTCACTTTTTAAAAATCTCTCTAGGTGCAATCCTTCATTCAATTCTCCCAGGCTTTAGCACTATTCAATTTTCAACTCACTCAAAACAAATCAGCAGAATTTCTATGAACATGGACATTTGGGGAATTAATTGTTTCAATGGTCACTAAACTTACGTCCATATCTTTGATTGGTTACTGAAATTTAAAATGTCGACTTTTGGTCACTGAACTTAAGTTCATGCCTTCAATTGCTTACTAAAGTTTAAAATGTCGAGTTTTGACCACTGAACTTTAAAAAATAATGTATATTACTCACTGTAAACTCGACATTTTTCAAAATTTTACAGTGAGTAAAGTACAAAATATTTTTCAAAGTTCAGTGGCCAAAATTCGACATTTTAAATTTCAGTGAGTAATTAAAGACAAGAATCTAAATTAAGAGATCAAAACTTAACATTTTAAATTTCAGTGACCAATCAAAGACATGGACATAAGTTCAGTGACCAATGGAACAATTAACTCACGTTTGGGTGATAAACCACCAAGTGTTTCTCAATAGCATGTTTGGTTGTGCTTAAAAGTTACTTCTCTAGACAAAAAATTTAACTTTGAAGATCATGTTTGGCAAAGTAAGTAACCCAAAGGTAACTTCAACACTTTTAAGCACAATCAAACATATTGTAAGTGCACATAATAAGCACTGCAAGCTCAAATTTCCATCTGTAGAAAAAAAAAATGCAATGGGTATAGTATCAAGATCACAAACTGAAACAGGGTCTGGGTCACTCCATCGACCGGATAGGATAATCGAAAGTGTGGGTGCAACAAAAGTGTATGACCCTCCCATCACAACAGGTAATCTTGTTCCAACAACTGACTGCAATAGAGTGTTCAATCCAGCAACAAATAGTAGAGTCTGAATAACTTTAGCTTTCTCCTCCTGGAAATAGATCGTGCATTTGTGAAGATGTTTGAATATAAAAAATATAAGAAAAATAACAGAGCTAATTTTGATCCAGTATAAGCACTGAAATGACTCACGTTTCCTCCCCCCATTTGAGGAACCAGCGCTGTGGGTATGATCACTGTTGTGCCAAGCATCACTATATAATGTTGAAATCCAAGAAGGATGGCCTCAGCTGAAACACAAAAACCATGCATTGACAAATACTTGATTGCTCAAAAACCCACTTTTGTTGTAAATTATAAAATTAAAATGTTACTAGAATCAAATAAAGAGGACAAAGGTATTCTTGATATTCAAAGAAGGAATCCCTTCATACTGACTATTTTTCAAACAAGAATAACACCGTAGCAAGTTCTATGAGTAGTAACATTATTGAATCAAATCATTTTGAGGCTATTTTATTTTAATCAGTAATAAAATATGATATAGGAAATGTAACCAAATAAATAAATTACAAAATTCAGCAAGGCCAGAGAGCAGCCAAAATGATAGAAAAGAAGGATGAATCTAAAGTAGTTAAATCATATTCAGATCCCAAATAGTCAGAAAAGCACATAAAACCCCATCAAATCCCCGTAAATGTGCTAATACACAATCTGTCGCGAATAAATTTACCAGCTTTTCTATTTCTTCTCAAAAGCACAACTCATATGGATTGAACCATCAGTGGATTGAACAATTGCAAGAAAATGGAAATAAGCAATAAGAAGTAAAACTACAAATTGGAGGAGCCAAAAAGGTGGTTCATAAAAATCAGAGTCCATTCTATACCAGTAGCTAGAGACATCAGACAAATATATACACGAAAAATGCTAACAGAAAAAATAGATTGTAAACAAACTTACTCTACTCAACTAAATACATAATTCGTACAAAGAATATGAGTTTATACTTAAAAGTATAAACAAAACGGCTTAAAGTCCCATAGCCAGGCTTATACATTACACTCAAAAGCACAACCACTTCATAACAAAGACCTCAAAATAATAACAGAAAGTATGTGCCAAGAGTGTAAAGAAACAGTATGAAGATGATAAGATACTAACGCCATGGAGGAGGACTGGTAATGCAGTAGAATACATTGGGAAGCTGATCTTTTGGTGTATGTGGCGGTGGATCATCTGGCTTCACCACTATTGGTGCCATTTCTTACTCTTTCTGTTTCTTTCTCCTTGTAGAGCACAATGCAAATGCTACTAATCTGCAAACGAACCTAAAATCATAAAAACTAATCAGAATCCCATTAAAAAGACTGCAAAATTGAAAGAAAAACTGCAACTTTATGAGTACCCCTAGAAAGCTAAGATTCAAGAAACCCACAAAACAACCCACATTATGTATATATGGCTACCTTTTATGCTAATGGTAAAAGTTAAAAACACAAGATCCAGGTGAAAAGGTGAAGCTATAATGGCAAGAGGGTGTGTTTTGTGTGTTAAGAAGTGTAATTCTTGCAGTAAAATGAATTATACACATACCTGAAATGAAGTAAAGAATCAAAAAAAGTCGCCAGGGCATATCTCCCAGTGGCAAAAGAGAGGGCGGATAGGACTCAGCGCGGCAGTGTGCAGAGTTCGATTCCCCGCAAGGTGGAATTGGCTTTGTTGTAAGCGAGAGTTACCATATGGGTTAACAGCCTTGACCTATCCATATGCTCTCCACCCTGACTTTTGGGAGGCACATCCTGCGATTTACCTCCTCCACGATGGTCCAGGGCAAGATCGATGGGGCCCTAAGGTTGGGGTTTAACCTTTTTTAAGAATCAAAAAAGTCGAAGCCCCCCTGGTCCCCCCACATCGAAGAAAAGTTTTGAGCAAAAAGAGAATATAGAAGGGAGAAAAAGAGTATATTTTGCATAAAGGTAAGATAAAAGAAGTCTGGAAAATAGTATGGAAAAGTGAGTAAAATAAGAAGATAAGAAGACACTATACAGTATACAGCTTCTTTTCCCCCTCATTTTCTTTTTGTTTGCTTCCACTTTGCAATTATTCTGATTAACTTTACACTTTGACGTATCGATGAACTTTAAGAAAATATTTCATTCAAACCATCAATTTTTAACGATAACATTCTATTTGCCTGTGTGTTAAGTCACACTATTTAACTTAAAATCCTATAAATTTCATAACTTCGACTTACGAATGTTGAAGTTTCAATTAAAAAATATACTTCAAATGGAATCGATAATTGAATGAAACTTTCAATCAAGTTTAATGATGGCTCTTCAAAGGTGACACTAACAGTAATGTTTAGTGACCATAAATAAAATTAACCCACAATCATTTTGGTCGATAAATAAACTTTTAATTAACTTGGTTCATCTTGCTTAGAAAAAGAAAAACTGCAACTTTATGAGTACCCCTAGAAAGCTAAGATTCAAGAAACCCACAAAACAACCCACATTATGTATATATGGCCACCTTTTATGCTAATGGTAAAAGTTAAAAACACAAGATCCAGGTGAAAAGGTGAAGCTATAATGGCAAGAGGGTGTGTTTTGTGTGTTAAGAAGTGTAATTCTTGCAGTAAAATGAATTATACACGTACCTGAAATGAAGTAAAGAATCAAAAAAATCGAAGCCCCCCTGGTCCCCCCACATCGAAGAAAAGTTTTGAGCAAAAAGAGAATATAGAAGGGAGAAAAAGAGTATATTTTGCATAAAGGTAAGATAAAAGAAGTCTGGAAAATAGTATGGAAAAGTGAGTGAAATAAGAAGATAAGAAGATACTATACAGCCTCTTCTCTCCCTCATTTTCTTGTTTTTGTTTGCTTCCACTTTGCAATTATTCTGATTAACTTTACACTTAGACGTATCGATGAACTTTAAGAAAATATTTCATTCAAACTATCAATTTTTAACGATAACATTCTATTTGCCTGTGTTAAGTCACAGGATTTAACCTAAAATCGTATAAATTTCATAACTTCGACTTAAGAATGTTGAAGTTTCAATTAAAAAATGTACTTCAAATGGAATCGATAACTGAATGAAACTTTCAATCAAGTTTAATGATGACTCTTCAAAGGTGACACTAACAGTAATGTTAAGTGACCATAAGTAAAATTAACCTACAATCATTTTGGTCCATAAATAAACTGTTAATTAACTTGGTTCATCTTGCTTAGAAGCACTTTTTAAAAATATATATGCATTAGACACCGTCCAGCCTTGGGCAACCAAAATCATGAAAGGAAACAAGTTTTTGAGGGTCGTGTCGAGATGAAAGATAGATTTGCCTTTAAAAATTGAAATACTTGTGGAATCATGAGAAAGAATGTACAATAATTTAAAAAAAAAAAAAGAAAAAGAAAGGGAGTTGGGTTGACCAATTGACATCCCATTGTATTACCAACGTGCAAAAAAGGTGTGTTGGAACATCCAAAATTGATAATAATTAAACGAGAGAGAGAGAGAGAGAGAAGCTTAACGTGTCACCATTTTAAAAGGCATAAAGCAAGTTAACAACCCTAATGTGATGTGAGCGAGAAATGGAGACAGCCTAAATTATATGTCCTCCTCTAATTTTTCTTCTGAATCTTTTTGAGCATTAAGGATACCAAGATAAGAAGTTGATCCCAAGACGATTAAAAAGCAACATATTAAATTGTTATTAAGGATCTGTTTGACAAAACTTTTGATAAGTTAAAAATTTATTTTGAACGTTTTTGAATAATTTTTTGAAATGATTTGTCTGACTAAAAGAGATTTTAGAAAAAACTGGTATAATGTAACTTTCTCAAAAAACCTCTTTTACAAAAAATAAAAAAAGAAGTCATGCTATACGAACCTTAAAATTAATCTTTTTAGAAGTTTAGACCTTTGATTCTTTATCAACGGTTAGGTAATGTTTAAGTAAAATTAAGTCATTCGCAAGGGACTTTATTTCAAACTCATATTCAATATGGATCAAAAGTTAAAACAATCCAAAACTCATTTCCCTCTTATTCATACCTTTCATATCAGCCCTTGTTTGTTTATCACTAAAATGAATTTTTTTAAAGGAAAAGTGACTTTTTTGAGAATGTGTGATTAAAAAAATAAAAAAAAATTTGAGTTTACATACAAAATAATCAAAGTTTGAGGACTGACCGGGCGATGAAGTCAGCCCAGCCTCTCGATATTTTATTATGTGACAGTGTAGTTGAAATAAGTTTTTTTTTTTTTTGGGGGGGGGGGGGGGGGGGGCTTCGGGTGTTTGTGTTGTATATATTTTTTTTTGGTGGGGGGGGGGGGGGGGAGTGGGGTGTTGATAATGAAAGATAATCAAGGGCAATTCAATTTAAATTAATGCTCGAGTGTTCACATTTGACCCTGAATATTTGTCAGCATATTAAGTCTTATTTTTTAACAAGTAACTTTTCTAAAAGCGGGTAAGCTTTAAAATCGCATTTAGTAAAATAAATAACTAAAAAAAAAAAAGGCAAATTTTAATTACTTATAAGAAAATGAGAAAGTTACGTATATGGGTATCACTTTCTATCTTTTTATACGACGCCAAAAAGGGACCAATACATTTACAACTAGCAAAATTCCCCCAACCTTTTCTCTTTAATAGAACAGACATTCGCGAGAGTATCTTTACTTCTTTGTTTGGTGCCATTTTCCATCCCTTCAAATATCCTTTTCATCTTTTGGAATTCATGCAAAAAGAGGGCACGTGTACGCGTACGTGTACGCAATATTAATATACTTTTCATGTTTTTACATGATCTACAATTTATTCATGGGTTCAAACTTAATGATAAGTATGAGCTTGGCTCGTCCATTGGGCTCGTGGACCGCACTGGCTAGGCCGAGCCAAACTTGCCCCACAAGTGAGCCCTGTAATTAAATTTATTTTTTTTCACTATTTTTTAAAAGAATTAAATATAGGTGGCAAAAAGTATCATCACAATGCCAATAGATCCAACAAAAAATGCAATCTACTATAAGGGCCTAGCAATAGTTCGTCATTTTGACTAGCTGAGCCGAGCTGGCTCATCCAATAAATATCGAGTTAGTTAACATTCTATCATTCGACAAGTTCGGGCCACCCATGGATTGAGTACAAACAAGCCCGCCCTTGCGAACAACTCATGCCTATTGTCCCCCTTACCAAATATGAGAGTTGTGCTTATCTCAATACTTTACCTACAAGCTTACAACATCCACGATCACTTGTATCCACATTCTTAAATGCGGGCTAGTAAAACTTTATCTCTCTAGTTTTTCCCCCTTAGATAGTACGAAATGTCCTATGTGTTCGTAGCTATGTCGTGAAAAGAATTATAAATTTTTTTGTGGTCGGACAAGAATGAACATGGAAATTTAGCCCTCGTTTAGCCCCCATTCTTCTTCTCATTCTTTTACTCTCTCTTATTTTTAACTACACAATTTTACATAAAATAATATTATACACGAATCAAAAACTTTTCATTCTTTTTCAACCACACATTTTTCAAAAAAATATTATTCCAACCATTAAAATTTAGAAAGAATGGGGGCCAAACGGAGACGCGATATATTTCATGCAAAGGAATAGGCCTCTTTATTCTATATACTTTTTGTACATTGTGGAAAGTAATGATTGATTGAAATAAGCAAAACCCATAAGCAAGAATCGAGGAAGAAAAATTAACATTTAATCATGTTAATCAGTTAAATATTATTAATCTCTCCTAAAAAAAAGTCTCACTTTTATCTTTTGCACTTTTTAATTTATGAAAAGAATGACTTTATAAAAGGAATATATTACAAGAAGAGGATTAGATGATAGAGGGTCCCACTTTATTCTAAGATATTATTCTAATTAAATTCCTTAATCCAAACTAGCGAGACATCAGAATCGATCTCCACCAATAGGGATCTTCATTTGTTGATATAATCATTTTTTTTGGGTGAAAAACTTTGTTAGTGACTAAAAATAATGTTCATCACAAAAATAAAAATAAAGTCGAGAGCTAGTTCATATTCACATGAAAAAAATTAAAAAGTAAAGTCACTTTTAAGTAATATTTTGTTAAGGAAAATAAAAGGTCCGCCTTGTACTTTGTGTCTCTAGTGTTATAATTTTGAACAAAATCGAGATACTATTAAAAGACTTAATTGACCTAACATATGATCCATCTACTTATAATTTTGAAACATGAAAAAGTTAATTTCAATTTGCAATAACAAATTCTTGATATTTCTTGTACGAAAAAGAAAAAGGTTCTTCTCAATCTGACAGTTCTAATATTTTTCTCCCACATCTATCTAATTTTAATTGTCTATATTTCGAGGTGGGATCTTTTTCTTTACACTTTACGATAAAAAGAAAATTTATACGTAAATGAAATTAAATTAACTTTACAAAAATTTCATTACCTTCCTCGTTATATTAATTTACACTTGTTAGAATTACAGTGTTGACTTCTTTATTGGCAACATTTAAGTCATGTAATTTGGGCAAA